GTAAACTATTTATATATTTATCACATTTTTTGGCCAATAATTTATATCTCAATAACTCTGTTGTCAAGCGATTCACAGATTGTTTCAATTCACACACAATTAGACACAATTCACTTCGACTTAAGCCTTGAATATCACCACTAATTGATCCCATGTTTTGACAGTTAAGTCAAACAAATGCACAAAAATGTAAACAGAAATCACAAGTAAACACAACTCAACGGATATTACGTCCGAAAAACGTCAATAAAACTAAACACAAAACTCTTAAATTACTTACAAATTGAACAGTAAACAGAACATGGTACATTTTGTACATTTATTTTTAGTTACAATTAATTCAAATAGATTATTTTAAGATAATTATTATAGCAATTATATAAACTATATTACAATCACACACAAACTAAATACCAGTTACTAATATCCATACAATTAATAACAAATTGTGAGAAATAAATTCAATCATAACTTTGAATGACTTTTGATATGATTATCCATTTCTATACACTTTTTGCTGCGATAATCACATCCCGGATGAGAGCACTGAAAGGCATTCAAACCCTTATGTTTATTGATATGATTGTAGAGTCGGATCCGATTAGTGGTCTGATAGTCACAGGCGGGCCAATGGCAGCGCTGTTTGTCCATTCCTTTATGCACTCGTCTCTCATGCATAGTGAGCGATAGGGGGAGTGAATATGATTTGTCACAACCGGGCCATTGGCACCGATACGCGGGACTGGCGTCCGAGTGCTGGCCCTCCATATGCACCTTCATTATGGTCTCCGTGAAGAACCTGCGGTCACAACCGGGCCATTCGCAGGCGACCTTCAGCTCCGGGTTATGGGTCTTCATGTGGCCCCGGAGTCGGGCCGTATGAGTAAAGCATTTGCCGCACTCATCGCACTTGTGGGCCATCGTATGATCGGTGGCCTCGTGTTGGGTCATGTCGTGCCGGTGTTTAGTCCTGTACTGACAGCGCGGGTGCGGACAGTCGAGCCACTGTACGTCCGGCACGGCTTCGGGATGGAAGCGCCGCTGGTGTACGTCCAGCAGCCGTTGCGTGGCGTACCGTTTGGGACAATCGCCTACTGAACACACGTATGGCTTGCCCTCAGTGTGTTGTGTCCGCTCGTGATTGTTCAGTAGGGATCGGGTGCCGGCGGCGAACCGGCAGCCCTCGTGCCGGCACCGGTAGTCCGTCCGGTGGGCGACCGCCACGTGATGGTGCAGTTGTGACGGGTGCGAGAATACGGCCGAACAGCCCGTGTCTTCGCACCGGTATTTGGCGCCCGAATGCGATATCATATGCACTTTGAGTACGGATTTCTCGGCAAACGATTTGCCGCAACCGATGTGTTGGCACACAAACTGGCGCTCAATGGGCAGACGTTTGAGCGCTCGGATCAGCTCTTCGGGTGAGTGGCCGGAGGTGTGCGCGTCGAAGGCGTACCGCGTTTTGCACTCATAGTCGCAGCCGTAGTGCCAACACGTGAACGGGAGTTGAGGTGTGTGTTGGCCCGCAGTCTTGTGTTCGTCGAGCTTACGTTCGGACGGGAAGTGTTGCGAACAGCCCTTTGTATCGCAAAACCATCGGTGGTCTAAGTGTTTGCTTTTGCGATAGTGTTTGCGTAGGTCTGGGAGTGATATATAATCGTTGCGACAGTCCTTGTGATGACAAATATAGTATCGCTTGTATTGTGGGTTTCGCCACCTATTCGTCGGCTGCGGATCAGTGTTTGTCTTAACGCGGGTCTCACTGTCTGTGGATCCGATTGTCTTTGTTTTCTTCGCACAATTGTTTGATCTTTTGTCTGAATGAAGCTCTCGTTTGACACCTTTTGACCACTTTTTCGACAATTTTGGCTTAAAATCTGTGTCGGAATCGCTATTCTTATCATTTATAGACATGTCTTCATTGTCTTCGGCATCGCTTCCAACGTCTGTTTCATCATTTGATTCATTGTTCTCAGAGTCAACCATTTCTTCAGCGCTTGTCTTCTCTCTATTGTCTTGTGTTTCATGTCTTGTATTGTCTTCTCTTTTAAACACAATTTCATTAATAAATTCATCGCTCGTTTGACAACCAATTGAATGAAAATCTGTTTATAAATAAAAAATTAATTGTAAAAATCAAAAATAATTTATAAATAAAGTAATTAAATTACAAATAATATCAATATTTACCACATTTTTTGGCCAATAATTTATATCTCGATAACTCTGTTGTCAAGCGATTGATCTCTTGTTTCAATTCACACACAATTAGACACAATTCACTTCGACTTAAGCCATGAATATCACCACTAATTGATCCCATGTTTTGAATGAAAATACAAAATTTGTAACAATCGTTGGAAATGTAAACAGAGATCACATGTGAACACAATTATACAGACATTACGTCCAAAAACATAAATTAGAGTAAATAAGTTTTATACAAAATTAAATAATAATAAGTTATAAATCCATTTAATAAAAATTTAATTATTATTACAATCAAATAATTATTAATAAGTAATTATTAAAACAATTAAAATAAACTCAAAATAAATTTTATGTAAAATAGTTATGTTTTTGTGTGAGTCTTCATATGATTATGGTGAATTCAAAACAATACATAACATATCTTACGATTTGATAAGAATTAACAGTTTTATTGTTTAACATATGAATTAAAATTTAATGAGTGTTTAATAATAAATAAATATTATAAAAGTTATAAACAATAATAAATGTTGTGTTAAATTGTTAATCATTTTGTGTGAGTCTTCATATGATTATCCATTTCTGCACACCTTTTGCTCTCATAATCACACCCCGGATGTGAGCACTGGTAAGCCTTCAAACCCTTGTGACCATTGATATGACTGTGAAGTCGGACCCGATTAGTGGTCTGATAGTCACATCCGGGCCAATGGCACCGATGTTCGGCCACTCCTTTATGCACTCGTCTCTCGTGCATAGCCAGCGATATTTGGAGTGAATAGGTTTTGTCACATCCGGGCCATTGGCACCGGTATGCGGGGCCTGAGTCCGAGTGTTGGGCCTCAATATGATTTCTCATAGCGGAGGCCGAATTGAACTTCCGGTCACAACCGGGCCATTCGCACGGCGTCTTCAGCTCCTCGTTATGTGTCTTGAGATGTGTTTGCAGTCGACTTTTGTTGGCAAAACTCTTACCACATTCGGCGCACGCGTTGGACATCGTATGAAAGGCGGCCTCGTGTCCGGCCATATCGGGCGCGTATTTGGTCCTATAGTCACAGTCCGGTTGCGGACACTCGAGCCACGGGACGGTCGGCGCCGCGTCCGGGTGTTCGCGCAAGTGGTGTGCGTTCAGTGCCCTGCGTTCGGTAAACCGTTTGGGACAACCAGTGGCCGAGCACTGGAACTGCTTGCGGGCGGCCTCTGTGTGTCGCCTCTTCACATGATCTGATAGCTCGCACTTCGATCCGGCGCTGAAATTGCAGCCCTCGCGCGGACACTGGAAGTCCGACCGGTGAATGCGATGCGTGTGTTTCCTAAGACTTGACGGGTGGGTAAAAGTAGCCGAACAGTTGGCCTCTTCGCACCGGAAGCGGAGGCCCGAGTGTGTAATCATGTGTGAATTTAATATGGTTTTATCGGTAAACCGTTTGCCGCATCCGTTGTGTTCGCACACAAACTGTGGTTCAGCGGATTGCTTCATGGCTTGGATCAACACTTCGGGTGAGTGGGTGTCGGTGTGAATATCAAACACATCCCGTGTTATGGACTCAAAGTCGCAGCCGTAGTGCCAACACGTGAACGGCTGTCCAGACGTGTGTTCGCCGGCATAGGTGTGCGCTATGAGCTTAATTTCGGACGGGAAGTGTTGCGAACAGCCGTCTGTTTTGCAGAACCATCGATGGTCTAAGTGTTTGGATCTCCGGTAGTGTTTCTTAAGATCAATGAGTGATATATAATCGTAACGACAGTCCTTGTGATGACAGATATAGTTTCGTTTGTATTGTGAGTTTTGGTGGTCTTTCTTCGGTCTCTTATCGGTGTCTGACTTAAGGCCTGTCTTTCTATCTATGGATCTGTTTTTAGTTTTAATTATTCTCTTAATTATATTCTTGTTTTTCAATGATTTTGGTTTAGTTTTGGATAACTTTTTTGTTAAACTTTGTTTTTTATCACTTTTGTATTCGCTTTGTATCTCATCTCTGGTCTCATTCTCGTCGCCATTAGTTCTCATATTGAAGTCTGTGTTAAGTCCAGTGTTTTCTTGAATGTCTTGGGCATCACTTCCGACTTCGATCTCATTATTAAAACCAATATTTATATCACAATAGATGCCATCATTTGATTCGTGACTATCACTTGAGTTGACATTTAATTCATTAGTTTTATTTAAGTCTTTATTCATATGATTGTTGTCCTCATTGTCTTCAGCATCACTTCCAACATCTGTTTCATCATTAATATCGCAATCGATGCCATCATTTGATTCATTGTCTTCAGAGTCGACCACTTCTTCAGCGCTTGTCTTCTCTCTATTGACTTGTGTTTCATGTCTTGTATTGTCTTCTCTTTGAGTCATCACTTCATCCGTGGATTCATTGTTTGCATAATAAATGGTTTGATTCAAACAAATGATACAATTTTTATCGTTAATAGCATTCAAAACATTGATTTCCGAAAACAATTCACAATTAATTTGATTATTATTTTGTAAACTATTTATATATTTATCACATTTTTTGGNAAACAATTCACAATTAATTTGATTATTATTTTGTAAACTATTTATATATTTATCACATTTTTTGGCCAATAATTTATATCTCAATAACTCTGTTGTCAAGCGATTCACAGATTGTTTCAATCCATTAATCTCTGAACACAATTGTCTTCGTGTTAATCGTTGAATATCACCACTAATTGATCCCATATTTACCAAACAATTCAAAACAAATGCACAAAAATGTAAACAGAGATCACATGTAAACACAACTCAACGTACAGTATATTACGTCCGAAAAAACATCAATAAAATTAAACACAAAAACTCGTAAATTACTTACAAATTTAACAGTAAGTAGAACATGGTACATTTTGTACATTTATTTTATTTACAATTAATTCAAATAGATTATTTTGTAGATAATTATTATAGCAATTATATAAACTTTATTGAAATCACACACAAACTAAATACCAGTCAATAAAATGTATACAATTAATAACAAATTGTGAAAATAAGTCAAATCATAATTTTGAATGACTTTTGATATGATTATCCATTTCTATACACTTTTTGCTGCGATAATCACATCCCGGATGAGAGCACTGGAAGGCATTCAAACCCTTATGTTTATTGATATGATTGTAGAGTCGGATCCGTTTAATAATTCTTATCAGACTTACAATTTTATATAAACTAATTAAACGTTTCATTTGTTAAAATAAAATTAATTACAAACTTTAATGGAAATAGAATAACATTTTAATATTTTATAAACAATTACTAAAACTAAATAAATATAAATAAATTCAATAATTTATATACAATTTACTATCAATTCGTGAAAAATAAATCCAATTAAAATTTTGTGTGATTTTTCATATGTCTATCCATTTCTCCACACTTTGTCGTCTTATAATCACATCCCGTATGAGAGCACTGGTAGTCATCCAAACCCTTGTGCTGTGAATTAATATGATTGTTAAGTCGGATCCGATTAGTGGTCTGATAGTCACATCCGGGCCAATGGCACCGATGATCGAGCACTCCTTCGTGGACACGTCTCTCGTGCATAAGCAGTGACGTCGGGTGAGAGTATGCTTTGTCACAACCGGGCCATTGGCACCGGTGTGCGGGAGTGGTGTCCGCGTGTTGTGTTTGCATATGTAATCTCATAGCAGCGGCCGAATTGAACTTTCGGTCACAACCGGGCCATTCGCACGGCGTCTTTAGCTCCGGGTTATGAGATTTGCTGTGTGTTTGGAGTCGGCTTTTGGAGGTAAAACTTTTGCCACATTCGGCGCAAGTGGTGGACATCGTATGAATGGTGTCCTCGTGTGCGGCCATATCGGGCTTGTATTTGGTCTTATAGTCACAGTCCGGTTGCGGACACTCGAGCCACGGGACGGTCGGCGCGGAGTCCGGGTGTGCGCGCAAGTGATGTGCTTTCAGATCGCGTGGTTTTGTGTACCGTTTGGGGCAACTCAAGCACTGCAACTGCTTGTGGGCCGAGTGTCGGCTCTTCACGTGAAGTGACAATAAATAATTAGTTCCGGTACTAAAGTCGCAGCCCTCGTGAGGGCACCGATGGTTTGTCTTATGAGAGCGACGCATGTGTTGCTTAATGTATGTCGGGTGCGATGAAGTGTAGGAACAGCCGTCCACTTCGCACCGATAGCGGGCGCCCGAGTGTAGGATCGAGTGGTCATTCAATTGGTGTCGATCGACAAACCGTTTGCCGCAACCGATGTGTTCGCACCCGAACTGGCGCTCAGTATTTGTTTGTTTAATAGTGCGGATCAGCTCTTCGGGTGAGTGGGTATTGGTGTGAATGTCAAACACATCCCGTGTTTTGGACTCAAAGTCGCAGCCGTAGTGCCAACACGTGAACGGCTGTCCAGACGTGTGTTCGCCGTCATTGGTGTGCTCTTCGAGCTTACGTTCGGACGGGAAGTGTTGAGAACAGCCGTCATACTCGCAGAACCATCGGTGGTCTAAGTGTTTGGAACTCCGGTAGTGTTTCTTAAGATCAATGAGTGATTCATAATCGTAACGGCAGTCCTTGTGATGACAGATATAGTTTCGTTTGTGATCCACATTTCTATACGCTTTCCATCTTTGGTTCCGCCGCTTAGGATCGGTGTCTGTCTTAAGCCCTGTTTTATTGTCTTTGGATCTGTTTTTGTTTGTCTTTATGTTATTCACAATATCTTTAGTTTTGTTTGATTTATGCTTTCGTTTCACATCTATTGAACACTTTTTGTTTAATTTTGGTTTCAAATCACTTTCGGATTCACTTTGTGTCTCATCTCTGGTATAGTCTTCGCCATCGCTTCCAATGATTGTCTCATCACTTGAAACGCAATTCATTTCTTCATTAATTTCTTTAGTTTTATTATTCGAGTCTTCATTCATATGATTTTCTTCGGCAACACTTCCACCGTCTGTCTCATCAATATTAATATGACAATCGATGCCATCATTTGATTCATTGTCTTCAGAGGCGACCACTTCTTCAGCGCTTGTCTTCTCTCTATTGTCTTGTGTTTCATGTCTTGTATTGTCTTCTCTTTGAGTCAACACTTCATCCATGGATTCATCGCTCGTTTGACCAAATAATTGAAAATCTGTTTCTAAATAATTAATAAAAAGTTAATAAAAAGTAATTTCTTTGACAATAATTAGTAAAACCTATGAATGGATGAAAAGTTTGATTCAAACAAATGATACAATTTTTATCGTTAATAGCATTCAAAACATTGATTTCCGAAAACAATTCACAATTAATTTGATTATTATTTTGTAAACTATTTATATATTTATCACATTTTTTGGCCAATAATTTATATCTCAATAACTCTGTTGTCAAGCGATTCACAGATTGTTTCAATTCACACACAATTAGACACAATTCACTTCGACTTAAGCCATGGATATCACCACTAATTGATCCCATGTTTCGACAATTAAAACAAAATGAAAACAAAACACAATAGAAATAAATGAAACCAAAATCAGTAAACCGTAAACACTATTACACAGACATTACGTCCAAAAAACGTCAATAAAATAAAACAAAACTTTAATTCAGTGTAAATTAAACTAATTAAAAGTTTATTAATATAAATATGATATAAATTATTACGGTACAATTTATAATTAGTAAATAAATAGTAAAAATATTAATTACTAAGTGTTTTCTGTGAAACATGTGGTATATTCACAATAGAAGTCAATGCAAACATAAATGGCAGCAAACAAACAAAAACTTTATATTTTATACAAATGTTTAATTAAAAAAGCAATTATGATTTTGTGTGGGTTTTCATATGTATATCCATTTGACCACATTTTGATGTCTTATAATCACATCCCGTATGAGAGCACTGGTAGTCATCCAAACCCTCGTGTTGTCGATGGATATGATTGTTAAGTCGGATGCGATTTGTGGTCTGATAGTCACACTCTGGCCAATGGCACCGATACTCAGCCAAACCTTTGTGCACTCTATTTACGTGTGCTTTTAAAGAGTTTGAATTAGTATATGTGTTCGCACAACCGGGCCATTGGCACGCGTGCTGAACAGCACCCGTATGTGTATTCATGTGATCCCTGAGATGATGTTTCTGGGTAAACAGTCGGCCACAGTCGGGCCAATCGCACCGGAATTTGTCCGCATCGTTATGTATGGTCTTATGAACCGCCAATCGTTGAGTGGTTGCGAAATGTTGGCCGCATGTGTTGCACGGGTATGGCTTCGGGTGTGTCTTCAGGTGTTGAGTGAGTGCCGCGCGGGTGACCGCAGCGAACAGGCAGTCGGTTTGCGGACACTTTAAGGGCTCTCTCAAGTGTGACATTTGATGACCTCTGAGGGTACGAATGTCTTTGAATGTCTCATTACAGGCGCCCATAAGACACACGTATCGGCGGTCGGACCGCTTCTTAAAGGCCATCGACTTCTTTTCATTTGCATTCAAATGACTGAATGCATGCCTTCTTAGATATGAAGGCACTGTGAAAGACAATCCACAGCCCCTGTAGTCACACAAGTACTTCCCATTGGATGCCTGTCGCAGCTCTTTCTCACCCATCCATTCATCACAAGATTTATCGTCCATTTCATTGTCACTCAAACCAGAACCACATTCTTCTGGTTCGCCATTGCCTTTACTTTCCTGTTTTCGTTTGTCATTAGTTTCTGTATTTAATTCACTCCCTCTTTGGCTATCAATTGATTCGTCATTTAATTCTTCGTCCAATTCGTTCCGACAACAAGTCTGCGACCACTTCAACGGGTCCTTCAAATGTGACATTACATGTGCTCTGATGTCACCAATAGTTTTGTATGTCTTAATACATTCGCCCCAAAGACACACATATATGCCATCGGATCGGGTCTTAAAAGCCAATGATTTCTTAAGCGTTGCATTTAAATGATTGAATGCATGCATTCGTAGTGCAAACGGTGTGATTGCTGTCCGCCCGCAACCCCTGTAGTCACAAACATACTTCTTGTCTTCATTTCGTGTGGGTTTCCAACCAATCCATTGATCATCACATTTATCGTCCATTTCATTGTCATTCAAACGAGTACTACATTCTTCTGGTTCTTCGCCATTGCCTTCACTTTGCAATGATTTGGGTTTTCGTTTGCCATTAGTTTTTGTATTGATTTCACACTCTATTTGGCTATCAATTGACTCTCCATTTAAATCTTTATTCAATTCAGTCGTAGAGTCAATCGGCGGACACTTCAGCGGCGCTTTCAAGTGTGACATTTGATGTCCTCTAAGACTACGAACGTCTTTATAGACCGCATTACAGGCGTTCATAAGACACACACACCAGCCGTCAGTTCTCTTCTTATACACCATCGATGTCTTGGTTTTTGCACTCAAATGTGAAAACGCGTGTCTTTTTAAGTGAGTCGTCTCCGGGAAAGCCCGGTCGCAGCCCCTGTAGTCACACACAAACTTACCGTTCGTTTTGGACGGCTCTATCCAACACATCCACTTGTCGTCCATTTCATAATCACTTAAATCTGATCCATTGTCTTCACTCTCAGTTGATTTGTGTTTGTCATAAGTTTTTGAGTTTATTTCACTCACAATTTGACTATCAATTGATTCGACATTTAACTCTTCGTTCACATCATTCGGACAATCAATCGGTAGACACTTCTCCCGCTTTATATGTGTCTTCGCGTGCCTTTGAAAGGCCGCCCGCGTGTGGGCCGCAAACGGGCAGTCGGTTTGCGGACACTTTAACGGCTCTTTCAAGTGTGACATTTGATGGGAACGGAGAACAAGCTTAGCGTTGAAGACAGCGTTACAGGTGTTAATGAGACACACAAATTGTCCATTGGATCTCCTCTTATAGCCCATCGATGCTTTCATTTCATCACTCAAATGAGTAGATCTATGCCTTCGTAGAGTTGTGCGGTCAGTGTATGACTTCTCGCAGCCCTTGTAGTGACACAAATACTTCCCGTCCGGCGCTCTTCGCAACCGTTTCCCAGACATCCCTTCATCGCCACAATTGTCGTCCATTTCATTGTCACTCAAATCAGGTCTATATTCTTCAGATTCGCTGTCATTGCTTTCCATTGAAGTGTACTTTCGTTTCCGTGTATTATATGTTGTGTTCAATCCATGAGAACATTGATTATCACTTGAGTTGTCATTCAATTCATTAGTTTTTATATTCAAGTCTTCATTCATATGATTGTTGTCCTCATTGTCTTCGGCATCACTTCCAACGTCTATCTCATCGTTAATCTGACAATCGATGCCATCATTTGATTCATTGTCTTCAGAGTCGACCACTTCTTCAGCGCTTGTCTTCTCTCTATTGTCTTGTATTGTCTGCTCTTTGAATCAACACTTCATCCGTGAATTCATCGCTCGTTTTACCAAATAATTTAATATCTGTTTCTAAAATATAAATCAAAAGTTAATTAAAACTAATTTCAAAACTATAATAATTACAAAAACCTATGAATGAATGAAAAGTTTGATTCAAACAAATGATACAATTTTTATCGTTAATAGCATTTAAAACATTGATTTCCGAAAACAATTCACAATTAATTTGATTATTATTTTGTAAACTATTTATATATTTATCACAT